TTGCGCATTTAACTTGAGGGGGAAAAATACCAAGGCATTGGAAATTTTATTGAAATTTTATGGAGTTGTTTGTGCTTAGTAGAACAGATACTAATTATTATAATATAATAACTGTCGTAGTGGTAATTACTGAATAGAATTAGGATTAATATCCCTTAAATAAGAACAAACTAATTGCATTAAGTGCAAAATACTATTAATAGCAACTGTGCCCCAATTGAAGTGAGGAATACCACAAAATAGGTAATAGAAAGTTAGTTTTATGCGAACTGTACAGGTCGTATATATAGAAAAAATGACCCACTAAGAGTTTGTACTCAATGTGAGTACATAATTCGAAGTGCTTGCGCTGCGTGCATAAATACAAATACCTGGGGGAATCATAATTATGAAGGGAACCCATTTACATTCTTAGCAGTTCCCTCTAAGCTTTAGCTTGGCCATAATTCCACATTTTTAGCAAGAAAAAAAAAAAATTAGAAGAAGAAAAATAATTGAATCACCTTAAATCAACGTTAACACAATTTGCAAACAAATGGAATTTGGGAAGGCGTAACGCTCTTATTTTATTATATACCAATTTACGCACACACGTAGCTGGAGAAATTTGTCATTAATTAGTCTACAGGTGTTGTTTCCAAAGTAGGATTGTGTGTGTGCGTGTGCGTGAGTGTGTGTGTATTTGTGTGTATTTATGCACGAAGCGTGTGAAGAATTTGACCGTAGGTGCTGGCAGAAGGAGCTCATAAAAATTGGCAAACAAAGGCAACTTTGGACAACACGGACGTTCGAGCACGGCAAATTTGCGTGTGCAACATTTTCTGGGCATCTGGGGTCTTGGCTACGACCACCTACGACTTACGTAAATTTTCTTTCATTTTTTTTTTCCACAACAATAACGCAGAATCAGACAAGCCAAAGCAACAACAAAAATAACTGCGAATGCGAAAAAAAAAAAAATAAACAAAAATATAGCTTTTCACGAAAAGGAACCACAACGATCAAATTGGGTATTGGCAAGGCTTGGAAGGGCCATCGACTGCGGTGGGGGCTCGATGATGGGGTTCGGGCATTGCCACGTGAGGCGAGGGCGATAATGATGACACATACAGGGGCCCTAACCTTGCCAGCGTTGCGGCAAAGTCACCGTGAATTACATTAAATGACGTAAGACAATGCAAGAGAAAAGCCGCGCAAATTTTCTAATTTTAAACCTGGTATTTGATTATTATACAAGACACATAAAATGAATAAAATTCTGCCAGCTATTCGAGCTCTCCTCTCAGGCAAGATGTTTATCTGAACTTAACAAAAGTTCATTAGACAGTGAAACGTTCTAAAGTTCCTTGGAATGGCATTTGAAAGGATAAGAGATAGTTGCATGTTTCGCTAACACAAGCTTCCGGGCTTAAATGCCAAGCTATAGTTTGTTGTTGTCAGATTTGAATCAAGATTTAAGTTGCCAGCGATTTGGAGGACAAAGTTTAATATTTTCCTTTATATTGCTAGCTATTGACAAATAATAATGATTAATACTATAAAGAAATAATAAAAATAATGATAATAATTGTCTTCTAAGTAGGTTCACTCAGTCTTGTTTCTATCATCAGCATATTATGCTATAGAGTACCAGTTATTCACATGCCTTGTTATATGACGCTTAAACTAGTTGCGAATTATAATGCGTCGGGCGATAAAAGCAGCAAAGCTAACCAAATCAAATGCCACCTTCTTTGTACTCTTTGACATACAATATAATAAGAATAATAATGCTGCTGATTGGCTTTTTAACATTGTATCAACCCTGACTCCTACTGCACAAATAGTTTTCCTGCTTGACTGGAGAGCATCCAATTTCCTGACGTGTTGCGTGCCTTCTTGCCATTATTATAAAATACAAAGTCTTAAATTGAAAATGCTCGACCAGCAACTATGCTGTAAAAGTCTTGAGGTATACATAATAAATTAAACATTCGTTTAGCTAGAGACATTTGATGTCCTGGAAACCTGAATCTGTATTCAAATAAATACAAATTTGATTGTATCGTAATTGCTTTGGGAACTTCAGGCATTCTGACAGTGTACGCAGTTATTAAATTTCGTAGCTTCTTTATGCAAAATTGCTATTTTTTCGAGCATAAAGTCCACGTTGTTGCGTTATTACTTTTATTCTTATTTGTATTTTTGAGAGAGCTGCCATAAAACGAACATAAGGCGTTAAACGGTAGTAAAATGGTCCACAGCCTGTTTGTTGAGTCAAGTCTAAGCAAATAAATTACGGAGCATAACAAAGCGTTTTTTAAATTCAGCCAAGCGCTTTCATATACTAAGTCTACGCATTAAAGTGGAACATTATGCTAAATTACCAGTTAAAGCACACGAAGGCAGGTGCTGCTCCAGTTGCCTCACGGTACATATTCCCAACGGTCTGATTTATCGAAAATCAAAATGAGCTAAGCAAAAACTACTGTGAGCCTAAGGGCCTGCCTGTATGTATAGTATGTGTGCTAATACCCTCTACTCATAAATGTTTATCAAGGGGTGTCATAGAACTGTAACAAACAGAAAAAAACAGCAGGATATTCGTGCTTTTTAAGGCCATTTATTGCCGTTTTACAGGGCATCATCTGAACAAGCACTGCTTGGAATCAGAACATAGCACATAAAGAACTAACTGTATACATATAGGCCTCAAGGTAATGCTGGCAGTAACGGTTACTCGCAAAACACGCAAGCCAAACATTTAAATCGATTTCGAAGCCAGCTCAGTATTTTCCAGTCCATCGAGGAAAACTCGAATGCTTTTGACACATTTAAACTCGTAGATAGCCTCACAAGTTGTTACAAGAACCCATTTTAGAAGGCCAAGCAACTCGCTTCGTTCCGTTCCGTTCTGTTCTGTTCTGTTCGGAAGTCCAATGAGGTCAAAACTATCCGTTTTAACGGGCCCTCCTTGCACATACAGACCTATACATACGTATATTACACGAATTGAAAACTTTAAAGTTTTAAATTTATGTATACAAGAGCTACCAGGGTAGAACAGAAATGTGTATAGGGCGGGCCTAGCCCAGCCTAAACCATGTCTTAAATGCATGACTTTTTAGCAATCTTTGAGTCTATCGTATCGACCACTAAAAGTTAGAAACAAAGGTTTCCGTTCTGTTAAACTTATCAAATAAGTTTTTGCCAAGAATTTGGAAATTATTTTGAAGCCGTAAGTACGGTAAACTAAAAACTATTTTACCACAGTTTTCTACCAATTTACCACAGTTGCGGATGGAATTTCTAAAAACGCTGAAAGATTCAACATCATCATCAGCCAACAAATCTTTGACCCTCATTTCCGCCAACTTTGAATGGATTATCAGAAAATTGTGAGACACTCCAAAAATAATTTTGAGGAAAGAACTTTGAAAACGATCGGCAAAAGTGAACACTTTAGCATTCTAGCTTTAACGCTTTGGGCGTTAGATTTATTTATCAGCAATAAGTTTGTCGGTCAATCAGTCAGTCAATCAATCAATCAATCGTTCATTCATTTGGTCAATCAATCAGTACTCCAGTCGGTGAAATCTGCCTATAGCTAGATTGATGTTCGACTTTTTATAAAAGCAAAGTATATATAGAAAATATATTTGTTCTTTTTCAAAGTCTATAAATAACTAATTATATTCTAACTCATTCGCTCAAACCCATTTGAATCACAGACCGTAAAATATTGTTTTACAATTCCCAGTTAGCGTTACATGAAAACAAAAGGGAAACCATGGCTAATATATTTGAATGCCAAAGATTAAATACCGTAGATAATAATAAGTTATAACATTATATTTTTGAGGATCATATTTCTTTTCTTAAAAATACATTCTAAAAAATCGAAATGCTTTAGCTTAACTTTGTATTAAAGGACATCTAGAAATAATCTTAAAAACTGCGAATTCAGTTTTGAAACTAGAAGTTTAAACTTTTCTAATTTGTTTTACATAGTTTTGTCAGCCTTTTTTTTTTTAATTTTTAAAGAAGTTAAGCGACTTTGTGTACTTTTTTGCTTAAGCGTAGAGTATTTCGCAAGTCGAAGACTGCAACTGTGTGAGTTTTTGCGAGAATGCATTTCTTTTATATACTGCCTTGGTTCGTTTATTAGCTTTTCCTGCTACGTAGGCGGTGCCATTTGGGACTCGCCACTGCAACGCCCTCTTTCATCATTCAGCGCACCTCCTTCGCCCTACTCATCACCTGTTCGGTTGAGCAAAAGTTTTGTGGCATAGCGAACGATATAAATCAAATGATTGACAAAAAGTGCAAAGTGGTTGGCTGAAATGACATCAGAGGCAAATGGTCTGCCTGGCCCAGAAGGGTCTTTGTGGGTGCCGTAGGCTTCTTCTTCTTCTGAGCATATAGACAATGTGGCCAGTCAGAAGTTGAAATTAAGTAATATAATTAAGTATATAATCAATTTGCGAACTTATTAACTTATTGAAATAATGTCCATCTTTGTTATAGGTAATTCAAATATTCCATATGCCATACTCCATTATCCATGTTCATTTGCAAATGTGAGGAAAAGCAACGAGCCAGGCGAAAAATAATATTTCAAAAATAAATGTACGGTAAGAGGCAGCCACTCTGTATAAGGAGGAAAACGCGCAAAAAGGATGAAAAGAAATCCAATATCGAAATGCTTTTAAACCAATTAAGGTGAGTAATGGCCTATAATGTTCAACTGGCCGATGGAGCGTGTAACAAAGCTCTTCGCAGAGTTGACAATTCGGGTTTTTTTTTTCGGTTATAAATGATTTTCACTTGAAACGAATTCTATAAAAGTGAAATCAGTTTCTTTATATTTTGTGTGATTTTTATGTTGGTTCTTTCTTGAATTACCCACGGTAATAATATTTAAATTTGACAACAAGTTCGACAATGTTGACAGATGTTGACAGAATCATAATTGACATGTTTCTGATTATTGGCCGTCTAATTTCAGCTAATCAACGCCTAACCAACTTGAATTAACTAATTAAGCAATACAATGCATATAAATTTATACATTTAAAAGTTATAATAGGGCACAGAAAAATGCAACAATATTTTTCGTGTTACTTGGGGAAAAATGAACGCTTCTTAATCTAATGACCGTAAATTAAAATACAAATTAACGGCGACTTTAAGTATATCAAATTAAGGATAGAACATGGAAGTTTTTACCTAATCAGTGTGGATATTTCCTTATTTATTTTACGCATATATAGTATATACATATATATATCGAATCCATTGTTATCCATGTGAAGCAACCAGTCTGTCTGTCTGCTCTGTGTCAAACTGTTCACTGACGCGACGCTGTTTAATAGAAACGGGCAGCTTTGCCCATGAGCAGAACGACGGAGCGTCAACGTAATGGGTGTTGGCCTTGCGGCGCCACCAATTCCATACGCCAATCGAGAGCAACGCGGCACAGACGCCGTTGCCAAAGCGCAGTCAGAGCAATTGGGAGAGTGGAGCAATTTGAAGGTCGCACCAATGCACGAGAAAATTCTGGAGGATTCACGAAAAGAAAAGACTGAGAAGGTGCAGCTTCTTGGTAACGCTAAGGAGAAGCTGTCCAAAGAGAAACCCCTCAAACAACAGTCAAGACTTGCAGAAAGACTGCGCCGTTCATTCCGCCGCAGTGCACACAGCTCCCTGGAGCTGAAGTCCACGTCGGACGATTATCAAAGCAAGAGCTGCGCCTCGCCATCGCTATCTAAGCTGGACAACAATAACCACGGCGGCCGCATACCCTTCTCAGTTGCCAGCCAACTGCATCTGCCCGGCCTGGCACTTGGCGGTCACATCAACGCGGCCCTGCTGCTGGACAGTCCCGACGAGTGCACGCCGCCCGAGTACGCCTACCAGCACTTGAGCAGTGTGGCCACCACCAATACCAATTCGAGCAGCTCACTCGAGAGCAACTTCGAGCTAAGCGAACTGAGGAGCTCACAGACGAACCTACACTGGGCCGGCAGTCAACAGTTCTTTGAAATGGGCAGCGAGATGAGCACCGCCGCCACCAGAAGTGCGACGCCAGAGCAGAGTGTCAAACGGAAGGATCAGTTGGGCAGCAGCAGCCGCAATGATCAGCAACCAGCTGGCCCGCCCAATGCCAGTCGCAGTTGCAGCATCACCAGCGAGAGCAGCTCGGTGAGGATAACGCGACTGCAGAACTTTCTATTCAGGAGCAGCAACGAGAGCTCGCGCAGCTGTCAGGGTCATTCGAATGATGGGTTTACCGCTTCGTCGTTTAACTCATCGTCCGGGGAATGGGAACAGCTGGGCGCCCATGTGCTGTCCAGCAGCAGCGGCGTTGGCGGCCTACATGATCTCAATACGGGCTCGTTTCCCGAGGAGGACACACCGGACGAAGCTGATGGCGATACCACGTTGCCGATTGAAAGTGGCGAAGCTGGCGCCTATTATCAGTATACGCTGACATCGCCGAACAATCCCTTTCTGCCGGAAATCACTGCACGCACCTATCACAGCACCTACGAGGACGACGAATTGCCGATTGAGGGACAAATTCAGCCAGAGGAGCTGCAGCTGGATTGTAATGTGACATCTGTTAAGTATACCGGCTGGGGTGCCGGTTCCCGATCCGCACAGCTGCCGACACCCGCCTACAGTCGTGCCGGCTCCCAGGAGTCCACGTTCAGCGAAAGCGGTGTTAGCTGTCCGCAGGGACCGACGCCCAGCCCAGCGTCGAGTTCCTCGTCCACGCCTGGCCGCCACAGACGCAAGCTCTTCAGTCTCAACTCTCCTACGCGTCTGCTGCATCATCAGCAGAGCGGCACATCAGCAAGTCAGCAGCATATTCATAATCAGGCACAGAAAATCGAAATGTCCGTCTCGCCAACGGAGAGCCTCAATGCGAACGTCCCGGTGCGTAATCCCCTGAATCCCTTTCTGCCGGCGACCTCGGCACCCATTGCAGTGCCGGGCGACTTGAGGAGCAAACGTGAGGAATTTCTACGTGCAACAATGAAAATCTGTCTGGTTGTGTCGCCTCCAGCCAGCAAACTGCAGGTGAGTTCATGTTTTTAGACTGAGCACAGCACCTCAACTGAGCGGAACTTTGCCAGCCGGAAATCAATTTGTAACATGCGAATAAAGACTTTTCAATTTGTTTCTTTGTTTTATTTATTTGTTTCTTTCGTTCACAAGAGTTGTACAATTGATTGTTGTCATCACTTTCTTATTTATTGTTATTGTTAGAGAGTACATTATTATTTTTCAACAGATACGCAGGAGATATATGATACACATATGTATAAGATATATATACCATACATGCATATACATATTTGAATGATATATCTGCCTGTCTTGCACTATGTAAACTCCATTTAAGCGAATCCATAATCGGAGCAACTATAGCCATATCAATTATATCTTTAGCAAAGTCTACAGTCTAGCAGAGGCCTTTGTTCTAAGTATCAGAGCACAATCTAGTCCAAATCGAACTACTATATCTTATACTATATCCTGCTTCTATAGGAAATAATTGAAGCTTTTTATGAACATCTTAAAGATATCCCGACGAATCTCGCCAATTACGAGCTTTGGTTTGCACCTAATAATTTTATTTCCCGGAAAATCAGAGAATTGTGAGGGTAAATATAGACATGTGACGCAAATGCTATGACAAATCTGTCCGTAGGGGTATTTTATTAATTCCCTTAATTCGAAGAACTCTGCTCCCACCTGTCACAAGAATTAGAAACGGTTGCTGTCATCACAAGCTGTCATAACTTTCTCATTTATTTGTTTTATTTTGGTTCATTTGATTTGCAGCCCACAACTCCTGCGTAGCCTTTTCGCTTATTGCGCTTCTATTTGTTGGCTTGCTTATTGCAAAACTTTATTCCGAGTGTATAAACCATGCATTTATATTTGGTTAACTGAGCATTGTATCTGTAACTAGCCAAGCGCAACAAAATATTATTTTATTGATTGGACAAGTTTGAGCGGCGCATTCGGGCATATTCTGATTGAATTGGACGCATCTGCGACAAAAATAGTTGACATGCAATTGCAAGATATTTCATAGTTTATTTATATTAGAGTTAAAAATTCATTTTGATAATCTTTTTATGGTTTTATAGCCTTGTAGAGGGTACTATAACTTTGTCATGTAGTATGTAACGCATAGAGGAGTCAGCTCTGATCCCACGAAGTATACATATTCCTTTTCAGCATCAAAAGTTAAGGTTATGTGCCCATGTCCTTTCATCTGTCCGCTGGCGTACACATGTAGGATACGGCCGGATCAGACCACTATGTCATATAGCTACCATTGGCATGATATATTTCTGTGTGAAAACCTTTATAGTTTAGCAAGATATCTGAGCCAAACTCGGCATTCTTTAGTTTCGCCATATAGCCATATATTTATCTACATCGGATCTATAGGAATGATCGGTCGAAAAGTAGGTTCTTGTTTGGCAAACTGATTCTTTATCCCAACATTTTGAGCAAACCCGGCCTTTACTATATATCAAGATCGCACTGATATGCTATATAGCTCTATAGAATGAATCGGTCACAAATGAGTTTTAGTATGTCAAAACTCAGCATTTATGAGCTTCGCTCTTCTCTCATATCTATAAGCCAAATTTCTACAAGAGCATTAAATCTTCGGTGTGCCGAAGAAACCTTTTCCTTCCTGTTAACAATTGTTTTGTGGCATTGAGTTTTGATGCTGTCCGTGATTGCCGGGGAAATTCGAACTTGAATGAGCAGCAAATTAAAGTGCGAGTATATGGCGCATAAGAATTTCAATTTAAATGTAAATGTACATATAGCGCACGTGATATAATTATTTTAGGTTACTTTTTGGTTTAATGCCAACGTGATGTAAAATCGATGTAAAAAGTGCTTATCCAATTGTGGTTGAAACTATGCATGCATTGGAAAACAGGATTTAGGCTGGCAGTTTCCCAGCCACGCCAATTAAATTCGATTATAAATATCAGATATTGGGTCGACGCTTTGTGGATTTATGTCATTCACACACAACGCATGCACACACACCCACACTTTTCCATTTATTTCATTTCAGCTGAAATCAAAAAGTCTCACCCACTTAGATGGCCTCGACACGTTGGTGCCCTGCCAACATGGAGCTGCCGCACCCACAACGGCCACCGACACCATCGCATCCCCGGGCATGTCAGTGCCAGCGGCCACGCCTGGACACCAGACGCAGGCGGTAAGTGAAGATGAAACTACAAACGGCATTTTGTTCAGCCAACTGCATGCCTCTGTGCATGCAAACGTTCTATTCCAAACGACTCCCGTCCCACACCTGGCCTTTCCCTGGCTCCAAATTGTATAAAAAGTTTAAGAGGAATCATATTTTTTTCGCTTTTGATTTTGGTTTTTGTGCTCTCGCAACTGTCATCGATTCCATATTTTCACTAGAACAACATGGAACACATCTCTCCCAGCACTGTGGCACTTTACCGGCAACTAGACTTTTTGTCAGTCATTCGTCATATTTTGTTCTGTTAATGTTCGGTTTAAGACTGTCAAATACCCTGTACTTAGAAACCTTTATTGTATATTCTATTGTACATCTGATCCATATTTAATCTCATGTCTATTCAAACGCACATGATCTCTCTTCTCTCTCTCTTCCTCTATCTATCTATATATTTCTCTCTCTTTCTCTCTCCGGTCTTACTCGTCTTTTCTTTCTCTATTTTCTGTCCAAAATGCTACCTTTCTACTCACACACATATATACGACACACACATATATACGACCATTTTATATAGGGGGAAATACGACAACCCCCCAAGGTATGCCAGCCGTCTTCACAAACCATGCCCACAACTTGTCCACCGCCCACGATTTATACGCAGGCTCCACAATTTGTGCGCCGATCTCCGTCCCTGATGCTCTCGCCGGGCAGCAGTCAGGCCTCGGGCATCGGGTCAAGTGTTCGCTGCAGCGTTAGCTCCAGCCAGCATCCGGCGTGCAGCAGTGCGTCGGCGACCAGCTATTTGACACCTTCTGCTAAAAATGTGCAAAACAATATTAACGACAATTTTCCAACATCGCCGATCGGCTCAGCTACGTTAATTCCATATAGCTACTATGGCGGCTCTAAGGCCGTGACCTCAACGACGATGACGTCAACGTTAATACATCGCAAGAAACCATTATTGACACGCAGCGAGGTGAGTCACCCAGCCCATCGGGTTAACCCAAGAAGAACAATCCTCGCCGCACTCAACAGATTGTATAATGAGTATAATAAGCAATTGATATCGAAACTGGAGTATGTGGAGAACTAATGGGTGTTTTAGTTGGTTTTGTTTTCTTCTTCTTTTTTACTTTGTTTTATTTTCCATTGCGCCAGCAAAACATCCATTCCCATTAATCTTCGCCTGCTAAACCATAATCAACTCAGTTAGCCCGAAAATGGGCACCTTTTGCCTATTTATGTTATCGTATTTCGTAAACATATCGTTAAGGATAACACTATTTGTTCAACCTATTTAAGGTATAAAAATAGGTATGAGTGGTACGGGACGCTCATTTATATATCTATATACTATCTACAGAAAGGAAACCAGAACATGCAGATCCTTATTACGACATAACATTGTGTTCTTTATGATAATAAATATATGTTCTTACTTTAGGTTTCAAGCTCGGAATTCTTTTCGGTATCCTTTTGCTTGGATGCAATGCAATGCCATGACGAGGAGTTCATACCGGCAACCAAAGGAACTACATTACAGTAAGTATATATTCAACAAGAATAATAATGTCAAATGGAAATATATGCCAAACCATGAACAAAGAGCCAAACTTCGTGAATATAGGATGAGATATGACCGAGTTATGGGGTTGGGAAATTTTGGCCTATATCTATATAGGATATTTGAGGGATCTATTTTCCTATGAATTTTTACCAGCAATAATGTTGCCAGATTTAGTTGTGAAATTGATTTAGAGGCCAAACCATAAACAAAGACCCTAACCTCGTGAAAATCGGTTACGATTTGACCAAGTTTTGGGGTAGAAATGATTTAAATGCGAAATTGATTGAATTGAAATGTTTATTTGTAATTATGTATGAATGTATGTATGTATGTGTGTGTGTGTGTGTGCGTGTGTGTGTGTGTGCGCGTGTGTATATATGTGCGTATATATGTATGTAAATAGTCTTTTCTACCAATAGCAGATCAATTTGTCTTGTTACGCGGCAAACGCAAATAGGAAAACTTATTTATTAAAGCTGCCCTCCTCCTCGATTCTCAAAAATGTAAGTAAGGCTTGCAGGCTTCACCTTTGAATTAGTCGCAGGCGGCCTCAACGCTGGAAGCTGAGGAGCAGGAGGAGGAGCACCAAGGGGGCGGAGCAGGAGGCGTATGTATGTATGTAAGTATGTATGTATGTATGTATGTATGTATGTATGTATGTATGTATGTATGTATGTATGTATGTATGTATGTATGTATGTATGTATGTATGTATGTATGTATGTATGTATGGTATGTATGTATGTATGTATGTATGTATGTATGTATGTATGTATGTATGTATGTATGTATGTATGTATGTATGTATGTATGTATGTATGTATGTATGTATGTATGTATGTATGTATGTATGTATGTATGTATGTATGTATGTATGTATGTATGTATGTATGTATGTATGTATGTATGTATGTATGTATGTATGTATGTATGTATGTATGTATGTATGTATGTATGTATGTATGTATGTATGTATGTATGTGTGTATGTGTGTATGTATGTATGTATGTGTGTATGTATTTATGCATGCATGTATGCATGCATGCTCGTGTGCATGTGTATGTATTTATTTTCACATGATGCAACCACAGCTTTCTAGCTCTTACGGTATGGGCTGTCCGTTGACCAGTAATCAGGCAGTCAGGACACACAGTTTTATATATATAGAGATTTGTTATATTAAGCCACTATAGAAAACATTCGAATAAATAACTAAATATTTTGCTTATTTGTTTGTTCACAGAAATGCACTTAAGCAGCTGCTGCACAGGCGAAACTTGAGCTTTTCACAGATCAAAATTACAGACAATAATCCCACGTTCAGCTATTTAGATACAGGTATATAGTTATTATCTATAAATTGTATTATTAAAAAGCTTTATTTATATATTTTGATTTAAATCCTAGGTCCAACGAACTTGACAGGCCATTTGGACGAAAATACCGATGTCGAGAACTTGGCTGGACATCATCTTGTGATCACCGAACGCGACAACAGTCGAAAATCGTTGCAAAAAGCAGCATCATTTGTAAGTTTATTCAACGATTAACGATATACAATGTTCGAGTCTAAGGAACTTCTCTCTTTTTAGGGCTCTCGACAGCGACCACCGCGACTTTTATCTTCCGCCTCAACAGAGGAGACAAGTGAATCAGGCAATGCGACTGGCAAGCAGATACTTGGTCGTTGGTCTTCCATATTCGGCATTAAGAACCCGCAGCAGAGTCAACTATATGACCTGCTCAACAACTATGCAAAGAATGGTGTGCCCCAGCGTCCAGATGCTTTAAATTTTGAACATCCCGCGCTCGCTGATTCACTGAATTATCTGCACAATATGGACAAATCGTGGCGGGATTTTGTCGATAGCAATGCCATGAGTGATAGTGAGATTAAGATACAAACTGCCATATGGGAGCTGGTCACCACTGAGGTCTATTACATTCACGCCCTGCAAACGGTTACAGACGTAAGCGGTTATATTTTCGCGCATATTGCAGAACGACAATCCATAATACATTCTGATTTTGTTATAGCTCTTTCTGGCCTGTCTGGAGGCTGTGCAGGAGGAACGCCTGCTGATTGACGTCGATCAGCACAGACTGTTCTCAAATGTACGATCCGTGTGCGAGGCAAACATTAAATTCTGGACCCTGTGGCTATATCCGATGGTGGCACACAGCATTAGGACTCATGAGCCACTGAGATGTGCCTTTTTCCAGGAGGGTTTCATTTCCTTTGCCTCTATCTTTGCACCATATAAGGTAGATTCAACTATTCCACATATTCCGCACCATCATCATCAATTTTGTTGTTTATCCACAGGTCTACTGCGCGGAGCAAAGTACCTGTCAGTTTTACTGCAAGGAGCTGAATCAAAATAATGCCCTGTTCACTGTCTACTTGGCCTGGTGTGAGTCACAGAAGATGTGCAATCGCTTGCGCCTCGCCGATATCGTTGTCCGTCCCATGCAGCGCTTAACCAAGTATAGTCTATTGCTTGCGGCTATCAAGAAGCATATGAGCGATGTGGAGGAAATCGAAGTCATGGACATTATGATACACAGCGTGGAGAATTTTGTGGGTAGCGTCAACAACCATTTGACAATGCGGCAGGAGAGTGAACGCCTCAAGGGTGTTATGGCACGCATTGAATCCTACGATGTGGTGGTAAATATATATAGATAGACTCCTGTATTGTCAGTCACCAATATAATGTAACCCTTGTAGGACACCAACAACGAGGTGCTGGACAAGCTGATCAAACAGCACAGTCAAATGTTTGATCTGTGCGCACCAATGCGCGGCTGTCCCGCCAGCCATGTGCGTCATTTGTTTATGGAGGGGGATCACAAGTTCAAGGACAACGTTGGTAAAAGCGATGTGCATTGTTTTCTGCTAACCGATATACTGCTCGTATGCAAAAGCATGGCCAAGAAGGGATTGGGGGCGCTTAAGGTCATACGCCAGCCATATCTGACTGATCATTTGATCGTCCATCTGGCGCACAACAACACGCTGAACTGCGTCTATCTCAATGAGTTCCAGGTGGCCACTACAGCCTTTACTCTGCAATGCACCGAGGCCAAGAACTGGTACGATGCCCTCTGGCGCGCCAAGACCATATATCAGAGACTGAAGCGGGGCAATGGTGGCGACAGCTTTCGCTTTGGCGGCAGTGGCACCACTGGCGATTCCCTCGGTGTGCGCAAGTCGCCCATTAACTCATCGATCGGCAGTCATGTGTCCAGTGCAAACAATAGCCACAGCGGCAGCGTTGAGTGGAACGATTCCCGGAACATATCCGTTGATTTTGAAAAAACCAATTCACTCTCCAGCGACGAGGGCTCCAGCCTAATGGGTAAGCCAAGTTTTATTATACGCTACGCCCTCATTTCAAGCACAGCATTAATTCCCTGCAGGCAACCAGGGCTTGGCGTCAAAGGGCAAACAGCAATTGTTGAGGGGCGTGCCAAAGCCAAAGATTGGCACGATTCCATCGACATCGGCCAATACCCTATCCGTGCAGCCGGTAAACCATTTGGGCCAGAGTTTGCCCAATCTGAACCTGCAACACAACCAAACGTAAGTCGCCACAGACAATGATAAGCTTCCTGCTTACTAGAAGCACACGAGCAAGCAATATCGCATACATAAGTATTCACTACAACTCATCTTCAAATTAGCATTTTCCAGTCATTTGTATAAGTCCTTAAGACCGTCCGTATACGTCGTTAATGTTATTATACACTTACTTTACACAATCAAGAGAAAAGAAACGAGCATATTTATATATACGTACATATATAGTTTGGCTAATTTATGATATATACTCTTTTTTTTATTTGTAATGCAAAACAATTTTAAAATAAATATATTTATATATTTTTTTATTATACATATACACATATATATATAATATATACTACTGTAAAGTCAAGAATCATCTACAAAGCTTTCAGAATGCGCTCTGCTTAAATTCACCTCAAATACTCACCACAAATGCTAATCTGCCTGCAATTCCACCATACGTAAAGCCGTGCCGAACATCTGTCTCTTTTTGTTTTCAATTTATGCTCTGCGTTTTCTTCTCTTAGGACACGCGTACACAAAGAGAGTGCTGAGCTGCGAGCTGAACTGACTTAAGCTGTACTAAACGAATGTGCAACAAATGTACCTAAATTGGTACATTTATTGTGCATGTGTAGATTAGACCTCCAGTTGTACCAATATACTTAGTACATTATTTGCTCTGAGTTATTATTTGCTTGTTTATATCAAATAGTACATTTTTAAGTAGTTTTTGATAGAAACGATCTCAGTTCTCAACTCGGCCCATCGCTTCTCTGTGTGCACGCGCGCTATAATCTTTTGATCCACTGAAAATGTAGCTGCAAACGGTTAACTTTTGGTTTAGTACGATTTTTGCTTCAGTTTGATTTGTAGTCCGACGAGCTGACAGTCTGATCGGTTTTAAAGTAAACTTTAACATACTTATAGTAACAATACATTGCTTGTGCCGGGCACAACTACTAGTCACTCGGGTAATTTATTGTTGTCGCCCAGTCATCGCGGCATTTCCTATCCACCGCCGAGTCCAACTAGGTGAGTCCGCAATAAGATTGGGAGCAATTGTAATATTAGCATCATTCACATATAATTTTATTATAACTCTTGTCATTTTTCTGTAACATTGCATTTCGCGAATACCCCCCGCCATATGTCTCGCATCACAAACATATGTAACGAATGGTCCACCACATTGAATCCTTATGCCATTCCAACTAAAAAAAACATGCGTACTATGCTCGTGTGTCTCTAGAGTGCCGCTTAAGCGCGGCATGGCATTCTCCACGTCCACGAAGAACCCACCTCTGCTGAAGACGCGCAATATTACTTCTCAGAACAGTATTAATTGGCATCAGATACCCGCAACTCCCACGCCGCCCAGTCCGCGATCGCAGCACAGCTCGCCCAGCAATCCAAACCAGGCCTGCAATGTCGGTCTGCCGGGCGCCACAGATCCACGGATGCTGCAGAAACAGATATCCCATCAGATGCCCTTGCAGACGACCAAGCAGAGTGATTTGGAACTCCAGCGACATTTAAGCAATGAAACCGACGTTTAAACCAGATATTTAACCAACAACAACAATAAATAGGAGATTAGGTAACACATTAGATATAAACAAACAAACAAATAATAATAATAATAATAACAAAACACATTGGCTTCTCCTTGACAAGGTCACCAATAGAATTGGTCAATGTAGTTGCTAATACTGCACCTTTTGGGTCCAAATACAAGATACAAATATAATAAACATTCCGACTAAGTGCTACCCATTCCCATTGTCTATCCATATACAAGTCTACTTATGCATGTAAACATATTAAACGGTTATACGAATACATTCAGAAGTACTCTTCCAAAAAACAAAAACAAATATATATAAATATATATATATATCTATACACATAGAAGACAATTTTTAATTAAAATTGAAATACACACATTTTTATAAATATGTTTGTAAACATATTTATATGATTCTACAAAACTTTGGAATACATATGCGTACACAAACATCTGAAAAATGAAATATGTTTGTGAACAAGTCTATAAAAATACTAACAATAATATATAGCATGAATATAGAATGTACATATGAGCTATGAGATGGGATAATAGGCATCTAATTACTGGATTGTTCTTTGTGTGTTTAGCATGAATTATTTAAATATCAATTTGTTTTTTTTTTTTGAACATTTGTCTTGCTGCCCAATTGTCTGATGAACCACATTATTTTTTGAGGCCTCCATCTGGTTAGAATTTAGTGTATGAAAAATCACAAAAATCCATATTTCCACAGGATTTGTACAGTTGAGCTACTAAAGAGATCAAGCATAAAGTATTCTTACTTCTTCCTAGTTTCCCTGCAGCTCGCGTAAGTCGCACGATAACTAATATCAAAGTTGGACAGTCATAAGAGAAAAGGCACTTCGACTTGCTTATTGTCTTTGTGGTTAAAGAAGAATACTTGTTTTTTAATATATTAGTTATTTTATTGATCATATCAAAATAAGTTCTATACAAATCGATTTTCTATTTTAGCCAAAACTAAAATATTATTTAATAATGACAGATATGGGTTTTGGTGCCTAAACTTTAACGCAAAGGCTTCAAATCACACTTCATTTTGTCTGAACTCTTCCTTTTTAATTGTTTGCCTATATTATAAACAGCCATATTTGTTTATAAATAACATAAAATATCAGTTAATTATGATGTGCTTAGGAATGCACAGGTAAACCGCATATCTTCATAGAATTTATGTAGATGCGGTTCGTCAAAGGCGAGGCAGAACGTACTTAGTAGAGATCGCGCTCAAAATGTGACAGCAACAGAAATATATATATATAAACTATAGTTTATAGCAATTATCACATAAAGTTATAAATATCAACTATTAGACAACATATTCAACAGTGTGGTCGGCTATGATTTATTCTTTATCAAAATATATATTTAGATGTATATATTTGGGCCAATCATTTGCTCGACATTCATGTGCATGCTTAGAACGACCTTCGATGAGTTTCAATATCTTTTGGACACACAAAAATATGTGATAACTTACATAAAACAAGTCTATTTAACTTCAAAACAAAATGTACAAAATAACAAACTTCATTAAGGTTTTAACAAACACACAAACACACACACAGTCTAGTTTTTGATAATGAGTACGATAAAAATGTTCTTCTTTGTGTTAAACTAGATAATTGCTTGCAATAGAATTTGTAGTGCCTAAGGAATGATAAACGCTCTTCCTGCCATTCAACTGATTCCACACTTTGGAATAATATCGGGCATAAATATCTAGATTGATTATTGATTATTGCAGTTTACGTAATTTTAGATTATATTTAAGCTTGCTGTGTAGCTTGAGAATTCCTTTAATGAGAGAACATGCTAAATTTAATCACATCGATTTAATATAGTTATTTATATATACCATATATATATATATATGCATATAAAAAAGAGAGGCGTGAGGCGAAGCTCTAAATCACAAAAAGTCTTAAAACGGAGATTGTACTTATTGCAAGTGTACAAACAAAATGATTATTAACAAATACCCTTACTTGTATAAATATTGCATACATATATCTACATATATATATATAACATATACCCCATAAATAAAACAACATAAAAAGGGCTACACCTGAAATCGTAGAATATTATTTAATGAAGCATTAAATTGTATTTTAGAAGAAAACGTATTTTAAATACATATTTTAAATATATATACACATATACATATACTGTTTAAATAAATAGCTATTCCCACAGTATTATTTAGTGTGCAATTGAAAATGTATTTTTAATATATATTTCTAATATCAACTCTATGGCTCTGATAAATATATATCTATATATATAAAGCTGGGAGTTTGCACTCAAAAGGCTATCTACTATCATATTAAGTAGTATTTTAACCTATGTATACCCTCTCAATTTCTTTCTTTTTTTTTTTTTGGTTTATATGCAAGCATATATATTCGATATAAAGCTATAAATTCTTGTTCATAAATGGAACTCAAGCTTGAATGTTTTTGCAAGCAGCCTCCAAACGCAATCTACCTTTATATTAACAGACGAGCACATCTATATATACATATACATATATATATATATATATACATATGTATTCATAATAAATACAATAACTAATCATAGTAAAGAGCGTAATACAAAATAGCTTTATTTACACTGGTAAATTAGTTCTATTTACATACATATGTATAAAATGTTAAAGAATTTATGAATTAAAAAACGTAAAAGCAAAAATGTTTTATTTTAGCCGAGCTTAAGACTTATATTAATTATTATTATTTGTGCGCTGTTCACAAAGTGAAAGCGAGTATATTGGTTTTGTCAAACATTTGTTCACAGTTTGACAGCCACTGCTTTGTAATTACAGTCTAAGAGTCAGCAGCCTACTTAGAAAGTGAACAACTCTGTTAATAGTGTATAGAACTTGCGTTCACTCAACTTTCTATTCTTCTTATTTCAAGATGCGAGATGCTTGACTTTAGGATAATAAATAAAGACCAGCTAGGCCAGCAGGAGCTGCTTTCTAAGCCACCGAGGACATCATTTATCAAGCTGCATAATGCTTTGTCCGGACTGGCAGAGTGTTCGCCTTGCCACTCTCGGCCGGGCACCAGCTGCCGCAGAGTCCTTTAATGGTTTAATAAACTATGCTGTCCATCTGGATTACACTCTCGTATGCGTGCAGCGAGCGTATTAGATTCGCAATTATCATAATTAATATGCTAGAAGCAGCGATGGCTAACTGACATATAAATGCCAGACATTTTTGAAAATTCATGCTGGATTTGAGCCGGCGACCAGCTGAAGCCACACAGGTAAAATACTTTTGATCTAAAGTTCTTTGACTCTTTTTGCGTACCTTCATAATTGTTTAGAACAATTTTAATTACCAAGTGTGTCGTATTAAGAAATTTACGTTGGATATCTTATCATCCATTGTAAAGCAATTGTCAGCACATTGATAAGGAACTTGACTTGGATACGATTATATCTATTTATTTTATTGTGAGGGTTGTCTTGGTGCGAGTCGCCGCCGTCGTCCGTCAGTAGAGAAAGCGACACGGGATGAGTGCATCAAACAGATTGTTCGGCTTGAGTCTTGCATTTGCTCTGCTCGCCTTCTGGCTGGGCGGCATTGGGTCTGCGCAGGGCTTGGTAAATGAATCCGCCGGAAACCTGCCGGGAAACGGATCCGCCACATTTTGGCAGCGTCTAAAAGCAAGCGTGTCGGACTTTCAGTGGCAACGGGCGAAGCCAGATGTGGAGAGTGCCGCGACAGTTCAGAGGCGACGCGAAATGTGGCAGCGGCTGACTGTGGCAACTGTTTTGTAAGGCATGCCGCAGATTACACTACGCTATATATTAAAGAAATCAACTAAAAGAGGATCGAATTTATTCACTGTACCGTGTGGTGGGCGGGCCTTAGAATACCCCCACAGCATGTCATCGCTTGTCGTAAGAGGCGACTAAGAGAGACACGTGGGTCGTCTAGTCCCGGGCTACTGCCCAAAACAAAGTTCTGGTCGTGCAGGGCAACTGATGGCTGTCCCAAATCTGTTGTGTGCGTGCTGGTAAGCCCCAATGGGTTGCATTTATTTATTGATTTTGAAAACACTTGACGTTCTTAGCCTGGTCACAATAGCCGGCCTTCTGGTCCCAGTATAGACCCTTGGGACAGGTGGTCAGCACCGGCATGCCCGCTATGCAAATGTAGTACTTGCCACAGTCATCGGGATGCGGCAGATAGCTCTGGCGCTCCGATGGACACTTCAGGGCACTGTGTGGTGCACTTGGTGGTGCGCTCGGTGGCGTTGGGGCAGACGCGCTTGTGGTCGACTCGCGGTCACTGGACAAGCTGGGCAAGGCGCTGCTGGTGTTCACGATGTAGCAGATGGTTACTTGGCCAGATGTGGTACTCGGCTCTTTGGGCTCATCCACCAGAGGTTCCTGGCTGTAGTTATAGCACTCGGCGTTCGTTCTCAACTGACATTCGGAGCTTCTATAATTCCAGAGGGTGCCGCGGCCACACTGATGCCGATGCAGATGGCCGTAGGCGCAAATAAAGTACAGCTGGCAATTGCTGGGATGGGGCAAAAAGTATGCACCAAAGTGACGGCATTCGACGTGCTCCGGATCGTACTTCTCCATGGGATTCACGGCCTGGCCAGTTTCCACATCGACGGCCACAAACACCGGCTGCGGCTTGCCCATCCACCAGTTGTAATCGACATATGGCTTGGCTCCAATGGCAGGGTCCAGGTTGCCGCCTGGCGCCGTGGTCGTCACAGCATATATGCCCTCCATGGCAGTGCACTTGGCCTTCTCGGGCACATCGCATACCAATTCAGCTGCATCAAAATGGAGTCCCTCCTCACAGTATTGGAGCGTGGCCAACGAGCCGCAGGCGAAGTACGCATTACAATCCAGCGGATGGGGCACCAGGTGACCATCCGTGAGACCCTCACAAATCTGCAAGCAAAACGTTTAGCGAGCGAGTTCCTTCGCAGCTTGGCCGTCTACTTACATGGCTCAGATCGGCGATTTCTATGTGAATCGGCTGCTCCGCAGCTTGGGCCACCCCGAAACAGACGCCCACAAGCAATGCAAAATGCATACGAATTTCCATGCGATCCTCTTCTCGTAATTAGTTGCTAACAATTCCACACGCTGCGATAAAATATTTGATAATTGCCCCATCTACCACTCTTATATAAGGCCAATCCCCACTCCCAGCACCCGCTGGGTGCAGCCATTTAAAGAATATTATGCGTACACTAATTGAAACATGAAAACATATTTTTTGGGCACTTGTCGCGCCTCACACTAAATACATATTTGATAAAAATACACACGAAGTGCACAAATTTCAGAGCAATGACTCATACGAAAGCACAGAATGTGTGGCATACTTTGAGGTGGCGCCACTAAGGAGTTGCAGCCATCGATTGGAAGATGCTCAGAAATTAGGCAATGGGTGGACTGGCTTAAACTAGAGATGGAACCGGGAACTGAGAATTGGGAATTTGGCGTAATCCGCAAAGAGCTACGGTTATGTTGCGTTTTGAATAATCCCGAAGTTCGTGCAGGTTTCAAAATATTTTGTAGAGGGTATTATAATTTGTTCATGAAATATCTAACACATAGAAGACATCTCCGACCCCGTAAGTTATATATATTCTTGATCAGCATCAACAGCCGGGTCGATATTTCAATGTCCGTCCGCCCATCTGTCCGTCTCTTTCTATGCAAGATAGTCTCTCAGTTTGAAAGCGATCTTCTTGAAGATTTATGATTCCGGCCGGATCCGATCACTAGGTCATATATCTAACATTGGAATGATCGGTGCCTTAAAGAAAATCTTTTTTGTCTATCAAGATATCTGGACCAGTTTCATGATGCAACATCGGAACTCTATATCATATAGCTGCTATAGAATCAGTCGAAAAGTAGCTTCATATATGAACAACTTTTTTGTTTGCTAATATATCTTGATCAAAGCCAGCATTTGCTATTTAAACGATGCTGGTTTTACATAAGTCTTATCGAGAAAAATGGATCTTCCTTTTCTCACATAACTGCAAATCCATAAGCCAAATGTCTAGAAGCGTATTTAATCTTTCGAACTTTTTCTTAAACAAAACAGTTTCGTATTTGTTTTGTTGTTCGATTAAAATCAAAACTAAAGTGATTAAAAAAAAAAACATGAATTAAAAATAAATGACTCGAGTTACGCACGTGAATAAACAATAAACAAACCAATTGGTCATAAGGCTCGAAGTTCTTGATGTCGTCTCCAAAGTATTTTTAAACAATTCGCAAATGGGGCTATCTGGGGAAATGGACGGTATTTCCTAATTTATTAATTGTCAAATTGATAAAATATATACTCAATTAAAACAGATAGCGACATTTTCAGCTCTGTGCTAATGCCCCAAAATTTATATGCCCCCTGTCAGACTTACCTTTTGGGTAGTTCTATTTAATAGGCAGGTCGCGTTCCAGCCAGTTAGTCGTTGTCAATGTCCCGGAGGGTCGCTCTGCAGTTCCAGTTTCTGTTCGTTTTCGTAAACATGAGTGCGTAAAATTTTAAAATTGATATATATATAATATGCATATAGCTAAACAAATTACCTGCATATGAGCTGATGAACTTAAAGCGATAATTAAATAATTCAAGCAAAGACTAGTTTCCGATGAGATATCATATATATATATACTCCATATGTTTGAAATAGGAGGATAGTTCATTATGGGGATATCTCTTATACGCTTTATTTGGTTATTCGCTTCTATATATAGTAAAGCAGATCGTTTTCGACTTTATAGTGTCAATGCGTTTTGTAGATAGTTCGGTCTGGCTCATACTTCTCGGACTTGGCCTGATACTGCCAACGTGCTTGGCTTCCAGCTTTGATCCGGAACTCATTTGCACACTGGTCGTTAATGGCACTAAAATCAACGATCCGCGTGTCTGCAATGGCTGGATACAGTGCGTCGATGGCAAGTCCGTGAGCGGCACCTGCGACGATGGACTTTTCTATGACAGGCAAACTGAGGACTGCGTGCCATCTGCCGATACAAACTGCATCTCTAGCGATCCTTGCGCGGCACAGCCGAATGGCTTTGCCGCCGATCCGTACTCCTGCAATGGCTATTACTACTGTAAGCAGGGTGTGGGCACTCGCGGCGTGTGCAATAACGGACTCAACTACAATCCGGGCACCGAGTCATGCATACGTGATTTTCCGTGTACTGCCAAAATGAATCCGGACAGCTATTGCAACATTCTGCCCGATGGCGTCTTCGCCAAGGACACACTCAACTGCAACGGCTGGCAAATGTGCTGGAAGGGCGAAGTCATCAATGGCACCTGCCCCGCCACCTTCTACTTCAGCGCCGCTAAGGGCGACTGTGACTATCCGCAGAATGTGGAGTGCGCAATTACGGAGCCACCGCCGTTGACAGCAGCGCCAGAGGCTTGTCCCAAGGCGGGCAGCTTTATCTCAGACGAGAGCAGCTGCAATGGCTATTATTATTGCCGTGAGAGTTCCGATGGTCAAATGCTGCTGCAGCACGGCGAATGCGACGACGGTCGCTTCTTTTCAGCACGGGATGGTGGCGCCTGTGTGCCGCGATCCAAGCTCCAGTGCGATTACGATCGATGCGTGGACCTAGGCTACACGGGCATACAGCTGGCCAACGAGTCGAATGATGGCTGCACGGGCTTCTCCATATGCCAGGACGGTGTCAAAATTGGCGAGGGCACCTGTCCAAATGGCGACTACTTCGATGAGCTGAGCCAGCGCTGCACCAACCAGGTCATATCCTACCCAGCCTGCGCCCTATCTAGCCAATCCACAACACAAACCACAGAGGCTTGAGTGGCACGGGCCAGGGCTTACAGCTCAAGGCAGGGGCTGAGTTCATCCAATCGATTAGATAAATTTACTCATAAATATACTCATTTTTTTATTTGCTAACCAATGGACCTTGATATATATTATTTATATATATATATATATATAAATAGAGTCTGATAAGCCTTCATATTTGGGACTTACAAATTTTATATGAATTGTGCAACACAATTAAATTATAAATTATCAATATACAATAAGCTATTAACACACAATAATTTGAACAACTTTTGAGATTAAGAACAAGTCTTGTTAAGGCGTTTTATACTTGTTCCAAGTTGCAATTTGTTTTTTTTTTTTTTTTACAAACAGTTAATAGAAATGTTCATCAGATGAGCGGAGCAACAACATTCTAGACGCCTCTTAAAAACACATTTGTCCATATCATAGAATATTTCGGCAGTTCGTTTTCAAGATAGCCGTGCTCCTCACCTTGCCATTTATCGCACAACAGCAACACTTACTACTAGTAAGTAGGTACAAGCACCTGATAATAATATATCAGTGCTCGTCAGTATTAATTACCACGCATAATGTATGTTTTGTGAATCGAATACGTATTCGAGTACCCGAGTTCTGCGGAATTTCACATTGATATTTGACAGTTCGATAACTGATTTCATACAATGTATTTTTTAATGCTTTTAAAATAGTCGCTTTTGTTCAAGTAAAATCTTGAAGGTATTAAAGGAATTTTTTGATTTTGTATTGTGCAGAAATGTCTGCACATGTTGAGCGTACTTTGAACCTTTCTACAATTTTCATCTATTTATATAGAATGGCATATAAAATATAATCGCAGGGTAATCAATTTTAAACAGAACAAAAACAATTTGCAATGCTTTCGACTAACACCAAATTTATGTCTGATTTAATTGGTTAAAATTAATTACAATTTGAAGGCGCACTGCATCTCGTGCTGGGTTACTTTTTACGCTTAGGCGGAGCAGGCGACGTAGTTGTGGTTGGTGGGAGTGCATCCCTGGCTGCGTTCATCGAAGTAGTAGTCGGTGGGGCAGTGGCCGATACTGACCCGGACACCGTTCGAGCAGCGGGCATAGGCCTGACAGTCGCCAAGCACATTGACATAGGTCAGGGCAAAGTCGGCGCAACGGTCCAAAGTGCAGCGGACATTGACACGATCTCGACAGGATAGCTTCTCGACATCAAAGTACGAGCCGAGCGGGCACTGCAGATGCTGGGGGTTCGTGTCATGCTTGCCATTAGCAGGAGCCTTGCAGATATAGTAGTGGCTGCAGGACTCATCATCGGCAAAGTAGCCCTGACGCGCCGTTGTACCGTTGACCATGCAGAAGGTGTTCTCTGGCGGTGGCAGCGCCGCCGTCGCGTAGCAGGTGGCATTGGCTGCGGCAACGCAGCGGCCCAGAGACACGTCGTAAGCCATCTGGGCGGCACACTCGCGCTCATGGAGCACCTCGTTCAGGCAGACATAGTACTTGTGGCAATGCTCCTCGTTGGCCAGGCGCGTATTGTTGGGCAAGGCACGACAGACGGGCGAAGTTGTCTTCGTGCTGCTGGTGGGGCAACTATATTGGGTGGAATAGACGCAAGAACGTGAGCGAGGATTGAAGACCAGCTCGTTGGGACAATCGGCCTTGAACTCGCGACGCCCCTTGCACAGTAGATAGCCGTGACAGTTATAGCTGCTTGGATCGGCTAGGAAAGTGCCATCCGTCTCATTGGCGCAGGCATTGACAAGTGCGTTGGTGCCAGAGTCAGCAGTATTTGCGTATGGGCAAACGACATTGGAGGCCATGGTACAGCGTCCCTGATCCTTGTTATAGTGAAGTCCAGCGGCACAGGTGCCCTCCTCTATGGTGGTGCCATTAATCGGACAGGTTACCCAGTTGTTGCAGGTGTTTGGGCGCAGAAAGCTTGTGTCCGATGGCAACAGTTCGCACATCTCCACCGTTGTCAGATGATCAAAGTCGTCCAGTTTGCTAACGGCACTGGCCACGCCCACCAGTGTAAGCGCAAGCAGGGGCAGGACCACTCTAGCTGCAATAAACGTTGTTAGCATCGATGATGTTCGGCAGCAATGCGATCAGTTACCTTGCATCATGCTGTCGATATTTATCGGTAGTTATCGGAGTTATCGGTGTCAGTTAACGGTATCCTTAAATTGTTACAATCGCTAGCGCCGCGTGCAGCTCCACAACTTGACTGATGCGCTGCCACCAGCGCGGCGCCTTCTTAAATATGCAAAGCTTCATTCGCTTCATTCGCTTCATTTGTTTCATTCATTGCCTTTTGGGGAAAAAAACAATTTTGAAAATGCACAGGCCCAAGGAAGACAATGTCGTTGTCTCTGCTGCCTGTCTCTGATATCAGAAATCAATGTGAGCGATAACATTCGCATCTGATAGCGGGCCAGCATGTAAATTACACGGCAATAACATGTCGCATTGCTGGCTCGGTGGCTTCGTGTCTCCATGGTAAACATCTGCGTATGCCATCAACCCTCCTCTATCGATGCTGATAGGAAAATTTGTCATGTGGAGTCGAGTCGAGTCGAGTCGAGTCGTGGCCAGGCATTGACTTTGAATTCCATAAAAAAAATACAAAAGAAAATCGATATTATCGCGACATCACATTCATTGAGTGAGCGAATACAAATTTGAAAATCCATTTTTATTTGATCGATCCCGCCCATGGTAACAGCCAAGGGCTTAGAGTTTTGATGACACCCACTTATTACACTGGACAACAGGTACAGGTGTCAGGTAAGGAGAAACGTGGGGATTCATCAAATTTTCTGGATGCTCATATTAATTAAGAGGGAAGCATACATTTTGAGCAAAATGCTTGATTAACTGATTTGATTTATTTATATGCGCTTTACTTTAGTAATATATTTAATTACGAACATAGAATTTAAGGCAACAGTTAAAAACGGAAATTTCATTGGTTTCGTCAATTGTTTACTCTTATTTGGGCGCTTCTAAATCAGTAGTAGGTAATGGTTTTGTACAAATAGCCTGTTCGGGTTGCTTTGCCACACATTTTCCAATTACCTCATCAAAATATTCAAAGTCTGTTGGGCAAGTGCCCACGGTATTAGTCGGGCAATATGTATACTTCCTACAAGATGTCCCCCCAACAGCTGCGTATGTTAGATTCGTGTTTTGACAGCGATCTAATGCACAAACGGTGGCCGCGGGAGATATACATGATTGAGCATCTTCATCAAATTCCAATCCAAAGGGGCACGATCCCCAAACAGATTTTTCCGCGCCGCTAGCACAGTATAGGTATCCGTAACAAGTCTGTCCATCTTTGGTAAAAGGATGAGCAGCAGTTGAGCAATCAATATTTGTCACAGGTGGAGTACTTGTCGTTACACCGCCATTATTATTGCCTGTGCATGTATCAGTTTTTTGGCAAACATTGTTAGCAGCGTTATAGTAAGGGAAATTTGTTGGGCAAGTTCCCGATACTCCGTAGCCATTGATGCACTGCAGATATTGTTTACAATTGGTCGGATCACCGACAAAAATATTGTTCGGCATGAAGCGGCAGAGTGTATCCTGAGGGCATGTTGGACCCCAAACGCAGGAATTATTGTTGGCCGCATACATCTGACCAGTTGGGCAGGTTTGAGTCTCGGATTTACCATCGCCAAAGCAATATGTATATTTGGTACAGTCCGAAGGCTCTGCCACAAAGCCGGCAGTTTTCAGTGCCGCGCATGTCTCTTTTGCGCTGGTGGTGCACGGCGTGGTGGAAGCGTATTGGCAAGACTGCGATTGCGGTTCATAGACCTCGCCCTTGGTACAGCTACCTGTGGCCACAAGCTCCTGATTTTTGCAGTATCCCCAGCTGGTGCAATCGGTAGGATTGCCAATATATCCCGTGCCCGACCACTGAGCACACATGTTATCCATAGTATAGGCTTCGGCCTGGGTGGCCAGCAAAAGGCAGGCGACCGCAAAAGCGGCAAAAGCCTTTAAATGAAAAGCTGCAAGATATCAAAGTGTCAGTTTATTTAGAAATCCTTGGTAGTATCCATTTCAATTCCAATTTCAATATCACAGCCGTACCCGTCATTGCGTTCAGGTTGTTAGCGACTTATTAGCTAGCCTTGTATGCTATAGGAGCATACCAACTCAATACTAAGCCTACCAATTTCATGATATGCTTTATATAGAGGGTCTAGCCAGCGGCACCTAATACCCTATCGGTGCGTTTAATTAAAATTGTTCGCACATTTGCAGATAAGCTTACCCGCAACCAAAACACCTCAAAAGTTTCGTAATTAAACTGCGATAATGCTCTGATTCACCTAACATTTTCTTAATTTTTAATTTTTTTTTTTTTTTAAGTTTTTACCTACTTGTCCGATTAATCATATATATATACTATTTTCAAGTGCTTCTTGGATTATCAGTTCATTGTGGAGCGCTCTTTATGTGTGTTATTATATTTTAATTTAATGACATTTTAATAATTGATCGCCCAGCTACTCGGCGTCTGCAGCTATCTGCGTAATTCTTCAAGTAATCGTATCGAGCATGTCAATATTGTTCCGTATCATAGACAATATTTATGAACAACGCCATTTCCGGCGACTTGTCTTCTGCCGAATCGCACTTTGAAACTGGCTTGTATTTTCTTTTTTGGGTAGTTGAGAGCGGGTCTGTGAAGCCATTCAGAAAAAAGACTCAACCAGATTGTATACTTTTAGGATAAAACTCCAAATTCACAAATAATTGTATTAAAACGAGTTAAGAATTAAATAGCTTGAGCTCGAGAATCTCTAAAACCAACTAGCTTTAAGCAACCACAACAAAATTAGTCCTCATAATATGTGGTCTGAGGTCGACACGTTCATACAGACCGGAAACCTTGTGTTAGCTAAACAGAAATATAGCCCTTATAGGTTGAAGACTTAACGAAACTAGTAATATCCCTATTCTCAGAGATGGTAGTAAACTATAACAAATTTTGCATTGCATATTTTTTCCATCACATGTAAAAATATTGCATACTTTAACGAGCTTTCCAAGCTTTTTATCCCATTTTTTCTGATTACAAATATCATCATATAACGCTTCAATCATAAAAGAGTCCTTTTATTGTATGACTTTATATTTTGAAATGAATAGGACTTGACCTTGATATAAGCAGCATAGCTAAATTTAAAATTTTCGGGTTTGGTCAATATATATTGGGAAAGAAACAATTTTTTCATATTCTCGACCGTTCGGGCCTATGGCAGCTATTGAGATAGTGGTCCGATACGTCTGGGACATTAAAAAGTTAAAATTGGATTATTAACATGAGTGTAAGCTAGCAAGAAGAAGCGCCACCAGTATAAAAGCCGCTGTCTATTACAACTGGATTTCAGTCGAATCTGCGACGCGGCATAGTGAAGATGGTGAGTTTGCCTAAGAGTATAAAAAGATCAAACTAAGCTCTCAAGAAGAAGAGCCAATAGTATAAATAGGGCGGCCCATTGCAGCTTGGTTTCAGTTAAGCCTGGGCCGCGGCCCAGTGCAGATGGTGTGGTAATGTGTTTTGTGTGTGTGTGTGTGTTTTTTTTATAATCAACAAAGATTATTAACATGAGTGTAAGCTAGCAAGAAGAAGCGCCAGCAGTATAAAAGCCGCTGTCCATTACAGCTGGATTTCAGTCGAATCTGCGACGCGGCATAGTGAAGATGGTGAGTTTGCCTAAGAGTATAAAAAGATCAAACTAAGCTCTCAAGAAGAAGAGCCAATAGTATAAATAGGGCGGCCCATTGCAACTTGGTTTCAGTTGCGCCTGGGCCGCGACACAGCGCAGTTGGTATTTGTGAGAGAACATATAAGAGCACATCAATACAAGCTCTTAAGAAGAAGAGCCAATTGTATAAATAGGGCGGCCCATTGCAGCTTGGTTTCAGTTGCGCCTGGGCCGCGACACAGTGCAGATGGTGTGGTAATGTGTTTTGTGTGTGTGTGTGTTTTTTTTTATAATCAACAAAGATTATTAACATGAGTGTAAGCTAGCAAGAAGAAGCGCCAGCAGTATAAAAGCCGCTGTCCATTACAGCTGGATTTCAGTCGAATCTGCGACGCGGCATAGTGAAGATGGTGAGTTTGCCTAAGAGTATAAAAAGATCAAACTAAGCTCTCAAGAAGAAGAGCCAATAGTATAAATAGGGCGGCCCATTGCAGCTTGGTTTCAGTTAAGCCTGGGCCGCGGCCCAGTGCGGATGGTGTGGTAATGTGTTTTGTGTGTGTGTGTGTGTTTTTTTTATAATCAACAAAGATTATTAACATGAGTGTAAGCTAGCAAGAAGAAGCGCCAGCAGTATAAAAATCGTTGTCCATTGCAGCTAATCTTCAGTCGAAGCTGCGACGCGGTATAGTAAAGATGGTGAGTTTGTCTAAGAGTATAAAAAGATCAATGCAAGCTCTTAAGAAGAAGAGCCAATTGTATAAATAGGGCGGCTCATTGAGGCTTGGTTTCAGTTGAGCCTGGGCCGCGGCACAGTGCAGATGGTGTGCTAATGTATTTGAGTGTGTGTGTGTGTTTTTTTTTTTTAATCAAAGAATATTTACTTGAGTGTAAGTTCGCCAGCAGTATAAAAACCGCTGTCCATTGCAGCTGGATTTCAGTCGAATCTGCGACGCGGCATAGTGAAGATGGTGATTGACTAAGAGTATAAAAAGATCAATGTAAGCTCTCAAGAAGAAGAGCCAATAGTATAAATAGGGCGGCCCATTGCAGCTTGGTTTCAGTTGAGCCTGGGCCGCGGCACAGTGCAGATGGTGTGCTAATGTATTTGAGTGTGTGTGTGTGTTTTTTCTTTTAAATCAAAGAATATTTACTTGAGTGTAAGTTCGCCAGCAGTATAAAAACCGCTGTCCATTGCAGCTGGATTTCAGTCGAATCTGCGACGCGGCATAGTGAAGATGGTGATTGACTAAGAGTATAAAAAGATCAATGTAAGCTCTCAAGAAGAAGAGCCAATAGTATAAATAGGGCGGCCCATTGCAGCCTGGTTTCAGTTGAGCCTGGGCCGCGACACAGTGAAGGTGGTGTGCTAATGTGTTTGAGTGTGTTTTTTTTTGTTTTTTTTTTTTTTTATCAAAGAATATTTACTTGAGTGTAAGCTCGCCAGCAGTATAAAAACCGCTGTCCATTGCAGCTGGATTTCAGTCGAATCTGCGACGCGGCATAGTGAAGATGGTGATTGACTAAGAGTATAAAAAGATCAATGTAAGCTCTCAAGAAGAAGAGCCAATAGTATAAATAGGGCGGCCCATTGCAGCTTGGTTTCAGTTGAGCCTGCGGAGCGGCCCAGTGCAGATGGTGTGGTAATGTGTTTTGTGTGTGTGTGTGTGTTTTTTTTATAATCAACAAAGATTATTAACATGAGTGTAAGCTAGCAAGAAGAAGCGCCAGCAGTATAAAAATCGTTGTCCATTGCAGCTAATCTTCAGTCGAAGCTGCGACGCGGTATAGTAAAGATGGTGATTGACTAAGAGTATAAAAACATCAATGTAAGCTCTCAAGAAGAAGAGCCAATAGTATAAATAGGGCGGCCCATTGCAGCTTGGTTTCAGTTGAGCCTGGGCCGCGGCACAGTGCAGATGGTGTGCTAATGTATTTGAGTGTGTGTGTGTGTTTTTTTTTAAATCAAAGAATATTTACTTGAGTGTAAGCTCGCCAGCAGTATAAAAACCGCTGTCCATTGCAGCTGGATTTCAGTCGAATCTGCGACGCGGCATAGTGAAGATGGTGATTGATTAAGAGTATAAAAAGATCAATGTAAGCTCTCAAGAAGAAGAGCCAATAGTATAAATAGGGCGGCCCATTGCAGCTTGGTTTCAGTTGAGCCTGGGCCGCGGCACAGTGCAGATGGTGTGCTAATGTATTTGAGTGTGTGTGTGTGTTTTTTTTTTTAAATCAAAGAATATTTACTTGAGTGTAAGCTCGCCAGCAGTATAAAAACCGCTGTCCATTGCAGCTGGATTTCAGTCGAATCTGCGACGCGGCATAGTGAAGATGGTGATTGACTAAGAGTATAAAAAGATCAATGTAAGCTCTCAAGAAGAAGAGCCAATAGTATAAATAGGGCGGCCCATTGCTGCTTGGTTTCAGTTGAGCCTGGGCCGCGGCACAGTGCAGATGGTGTGCTAATGTATTTGAGTGTGTGTGTGTGTTTTTTTTTTAAATCAAAGAATATTTACTTGAGTGTAAGCTCGCCAGCAGTATAAAAACCGCTGTCCATTGCAGCTGGATTTCAGTCGAATCTGCGACGCGGCATAGTGAAGATGGTGATTGACTAAGAGTATAAAAAGATCAATGTAAGCTCTCAAGAAGAAGAGCCAATAGTATAAAGAGGGCGGCCCATTGCAGCTTGGTTTCAGTTGAGCCTGCGGAGCGGCCCAGTGCAGATGGTGTGGTAATGTGTTTTGTGTGTGTGTGTGTTTTTTTTTTATAATCAACAAAGATTATTAACATGAGTGTAAGCTAGCAAGAAGAAGCGCCAGCAGTATAAAAATCGTTGTCCATTGCAGCTAATCTTCAGTCGAATCTGTGACGCGGTATAGTAAAGATGGTGAGTTTGTGTAAGAGTATAAAAAGATCAATGTAAGCTCTCAAGAAGAAGAGCCAATAGTATAAATAGTGTGGCCCATTGCAGTGGGTTTCATTTGAGCCTGCGTCACGGCACAGTGCAGTATTTGTGAGAGAACATATAAGAGCACATCAATGCAAGCTCTTAAGAAGAAGAGCCAATTGTTTAAATAGGGCGGCTAATTGAGGCTTGGTTTCAATTGAGCCTGGGCCGCGGCTAAGTGCAGGTGGTGTGTTAATGTGTTTGAGTGTGAGTGTTTTTTATTTTTTTTTTTTAAATCGAAGATTTACTTGAGTGTAAGCTCACCAGCAGTATAAAAACCGCTGTCCATTGCAGCTGGATTTCAGTCGAAGCTGTGATGCGGCATAGAGAAGATGGTGAGTTTGCTTAAGAGTATAAAAGTAGATCAATGCAATCTTTCAAGAAGAGGAGCGAATAGTATAAATATGGCATTTCATTGAAACTTGTAAGTGTGCATTTTCATATATTTTTTTCAAATGCACTTTTAATAAGATATATGGAAATAGGTTTGAAGTCGATCGGAATTTTATTTATCATAGATAGGCAAACATTTATGTGCTGCAGTGCAAGTTAGGGTATTTCCTAGTCGACCACTGCTTATGGGTTTTTTAAATAATTTAACTAAGGCAGGGTTTGAAATGTGACATGTGTTGTTCACCTATTTACCATTAGCTCAATACAGTTAATGAACGCTGTTCGACAATCAGTTTATCAATTGGCAGATTTACGAGGCCAGAATCATATGTCTATATGTATGTGTGTATGTGTATGTATGTAAAAGCTGTGCAGACAGCTGGCTATTTATATGTATGTATGTATGTATGTATGTATGTATGTATATACATAAAAGCGAACATTATCTATGGTTAATAATTGTTTAGGTATGTTGGAAACTTTTCAGCACTCTTTGTTTTAATTGAATGCGTTTGTTCTTGTTCGGACTTTAAATTTAACAAATTCTCTATTTTCACCCGCCATAGTTTGCAATATCTGCATATTTTTAGCAAAGCGCAGATAAGATTTGAGCCGCTCAAAACACATTCCCCCTAATTTGTTGCAGACTCAGGTATCAGTATCAGAAATATTCCACCCCAAATATAAATTCTCTTCGAGCACCAATCTGTATTTAGTCATAGACAGACAGTTTGAGCATTCGCACCGTAGCCTTGTCTTTAATAAGTTGTTAGTAAGAGGAAATTCCCAATCAAAATGCACGGTGGGTAAAAATAAAAGAAGACATTTTAAGTCGCAGGTGTTTCGCCTGAGTACTAGTACATAGAGTTTGAACTGTTTGAATTGTTTTATACTATATGATATACATAAAATAAGTTTTCTACTAATTCATATTCAGCGTCATTGCGAGTCGGTATCGGAGTAATCCTGCTGGCAATATGCCTGCCCCAGCCATTGCACGCGCTGCACGATTTTGCGGGTATGTGTCGCCTGTTCAAAAATGGCACCCACATCCGCAAGCCGGGTACCTGCGACGAGTACATTGAATGCATAAATGACACGGGAGTAATACACACCTGTGCCGATTCCCTGGTCTTTGAGCCAAGTTCACAGAAGTGCGTCCAGGCAACGGCAAGCAACAGCGTTTACTGTGGCAATCTTTGCGAGGGATTGGATGGAAAATGGGTAGCAGATCCAACAGACTGTCAAAATTACTTCTACTGCAGGAACGGCGAGGCCCTCGGCGGTCATTGCGACAATTCGCAGCATTTCAATGAGACCACGCAGTCGTGCGAGTATGGAGTCGACTCGCTTTGCGTGGACGTAGCAAATATATGCGAAATATTGCCCGACAAGACCAAGTTTCGGCAGGAGAATGACTGTAACGAGTACTATGAATGCAAGAGTGGAAAGCATAGTCTTAAGACTTGCTCATCAACGCAATACTTTGATGTAGAAATCGGCGGCTGTGCGCTTAAAAGTCAAGTGAAATGCACAGCGCACTCCAAGAAGAATGTGTGCGTGTCCAAAAGCAAACCAATTTCTGGCTACCAATCGGACGGTGCCACTTGCCGCGGCTACTTCTATTGCGCCGACCTCGGTGCCGTTCCCGACATTGATCCCATATGGGCCCAGTGTCCAGAGGGCTACTTCTTTGATGACATTAACAAGAGATGCGGCCTGCCCACTTCGGTGGTGTGCACACACAACCGCTGTGAGGGGCGTGGCACCATGCTCGTCACCAGCAGCAGCAACAACTGCCACAACTATATTACGTGCGTGGACGGCGTCGAAGTCGAGGAGAACACCTGCCATTGGGATCACTTTTTCGATGAGTCAGTGCAAGGCTGCTCTAGTAAGATTGTTTACGACGAGTGCTGCGATGGTCGTGACTGAGCCAAAGCCGTGTCAATCCATACATATGTATGTATTTATACATACATATGTGGATATGTATGTATGGGATGTGTAGGTGTCAATCAAAAAGTTGACAGCAGGTACGCACGTACAATTTGTTTGTGTACATGTGAATTCCAATTGTTGTTTAATCAATGTATTTCCTGAAAATATGAACATATTTTTATAAAATCAGAACATTATTTTAGCCAAGCTTATTATTATTATTACCCCCGTAACAATAAATTCGCTAAACGCATTGCATTGCAGCCGAAAATAATGACATTTTAAATACACTTTATGCATTGGTTGTTCTACCACAAAAATTAAACAGTAAATTGCGGTTCCGTTATCTTCCAAATGAAAAATATCGCATAGACACTTGGTATCGATAGACAAATCGATAGATATTTTACAACACTGCCTCAGCCTAATAATTTCCTTCAATTTACCTTTTCATTAAAAAAAAACCTAAAAAATGATGATAGTATTAATTGATAATCTTGATATGATATTAGGTAGTGGTTTATTTATTATGTGTGTTATGCTGTTAGTTATCCTGCTATTTAACAGTTCCAGCCAGTGTTAAGTTTCGTGTCACTGTTAAGTTGCGTGCAGATTACAACCAAATAGTCCATCTCTTTCCTCTATTACACGATAGAACGCCGTCGCTCGTCGCAAGTTTGTTTTTGCAATGCTAAACGAAAAACTTTTTAAACTGAAAAATTAAATAAACTTAAGCGTGCAAATATCAGACCGACAGCAAGTGACGGCAAACTAATAAAAAAAAATGTGTAAAATAAATCCGTGCTGACCTACTATATACACATTTTTTTTGTCGACTTGAGTTTTGATTTTATACGAGCATAAAATGTAAGTAGTCAAATTAGAAAAAGACTCGCGTTCTGATCCACAGCTCAGTTTCAATTTTCAATTTAACAACAGCTCCGGCATGAAGCCTACTCAGTCCGGTGGCAGTAGTACCAGCACCGGCAAAATGGGCGAACCCATCGAGTATGTAACCCTGATTAGCGACGACTCTGACGGGGAGCCGTCCCCCAAACGCAACCCTACAGGAGGCGGCAGCCAAGCCGGCAACCAAACGAAGTCAAAATTTGACGACGACTCCAACGATACACCTGCCACAAGTGACGAGCGTCGCACTAGCCGGCGCAACAAGCCCAAAGTCGACTACACGAATAAGCCGGCAACGGCTAGTGCGGAGAATGCGTCTGCGTCCTATGAAAAATGCAGCTCCGGCTCGTCAGGTAGCAGCACTGGACCATCGGATAAACGCGGGCATGTGCAGACGGAGCTGCGCTCCCGGAAATCGGAGACGGCAGTTCATCAGAGCGCAGCCTCTGGCACCCGCGGCGCTTTGCCAAAGGACACAAATGGCACCAATGGGGATGCACGCGATAACAGCACCCCCACGGTACTTTCCGGGCAGGAAGGTGCAGTATTTCAGTCGCGCCTGCCCTTTAGCAAGATGACACCTAATGAGGAGGCGTGCTTTCCGGATATAAGCCGCTCGGGCATACTGGGGCATCGAGTTTTCCTCAACATACGCAACGGTTTGCTTCACATGTGGGTGGATAATCCCAAAACCCAGTTGACTTTTGAAAATGCGCTCAAACGGCTGCCGCCGCCCTTCGACAGTGACCCGAATCTGGTGAGACGTGTGCACTCATTTTTGGAGCGGCACGGCTTTATCAATTTCGGCATATTCAAGCGGATAACTCCCATACCCATCAAGAAGCTTGGCAAGGTAATCGTGATTGGTGCGGGCATCTCTGGACTGGCAGTTGGGCAACAGTTGCAACAATTTGGTATGGACGTGATCGTGTTGGAAGCGCGAGATCGAGTTGGCGGGCGTATTGCCACGTTTCGCAAAAACAGCTATATTGCCGACCTGGGCGCCATGGTGGTAACAGGCGTTTACGGCAATCCCATGACCATTCTGAGCAAGCAGATTGGCATGGATCTGGTACCAATTCAGCAGACATGCCCGCTGTACGGTCCCGATGGTAAACCAGTGCCAAAGGAAAAAGATGATGTTATTGAGCGCGAGTTTAATCGGCTACTTGAATCGGCCAGCTATCTGTCGCATCGCCTAGACTTTAACTACGCCGGCAATAATCCTGTCTCTTTGGGAGATGCCCTGGAGTGGATCATTAATATGCAGGACAAGGCCGTGCAGGAGAAACGCGCCGCACATATGCAAGAGATTATTGCTGCCCAAACGAAAATCATTGAGCACCGCAAAAGGCTGAAGAGCATTCTACAGAAGATTGCAACGCTCAAGTCTGAGCTTCAAACATTGGTTAGACAGCGCGTACCAAAGGGCGCCCAGAACGAGAATGGTTATGCGTGCCAAGAATACACCATTCGCACCACTCAAATCAAGCTGGAAGACCTTGTCAATGTCGAAGCGGAGCTCCGCAATGAGGGGCACAAGATGGAGCTCAAGCTTCAAGAGCTTGAACAAAACGGACCGAGGTAAGTGGCTACATTGAAATGAACATAAGGATTCATATAATATATGATATACGCAGTCAGGTGTATCTATCCTCACGCGACCGTCTGATACTTGATTGGCATTTTGCCAATCTGGAATTCGCGAATGCCACACGCTTGGACAACTTATCGCTAAAGCATTGGGATCAGGATGATGACTTTGAGTTTATTGGCCACCATACCACAGTGCGTAATGGTTACTCCTGCGTTCCAGTTGCGCTTACAGAGAACATTGACATACGGCTCAATAGCGCTGTCAAGGAAATTAAGTACAATAGCAAAGGCGTAGAGATTGTGGCTGAAAATCTAAAAACTTCCAACTCGCAAATGACATACAAGGCCGATTTGGCCGTCTGTACGCTTACACTGGGCGTTCTAAAGGTGGCGGTCACGCAGGAGGAGGAGACACAGCATGGCAATACTGTTAAATTTGATCCACCACTGCCAGACTGGAAGCAACAAGCCATACGTCGCTTGGGATTTGGTAATCTCAACAAGGTGGTGCTCTGTTTTGATCGTATATTCTGGGATCCCAATGCGAATCTCTTTGGCCATGTGGGCAGCACCACTGCCAGTCGTGGTGAGTGGCACACATGTGATTCCATTCATTTGAAAAACATTTCAAAAATTGTTACTTTCAAGGGGAAATGTTTCTGTTCTGGAGCATCAGCTCGTCGCCGGTTTTGCTGGCCCTCGTCGCTGGCATGGCAGCCAATATTGTGGAGAGCGTGACGGATGACATCATTATCGGACGCTGTATGTCCGTCCTAAAAAATATATTTGGCAACACATCGGTGCCTCAGCCCAAGGAGACGGTCGTTACTCGTTGGCGCAGCGATCAGTGGGCCCGTGGATCATATAGTTATGTTTCTGTAGGCTCCTCTGGTAGTGACTACGATCTTCTAGCAGCACCAGTCATCCCGCCCACAAGTTTCGAGCCGCATTTTAGCAAAGAGGCCGAAGAACTGCCTCGCCTTTTCTTTGCGGGCGAGCACACGATACGCAACTATCCAGCGACTGTGCACGGCGCGTATTTAAGCGGCTTACGTGAGGCTGGTCGCATTGCTGATTACTATTTAGGCTATCCGGAAGGTACACCGCCGGACATCGGCTATTCTGTTACAGAAGCCGCCAACTCGGTTTCAGTGGGTAATGTTGTAAAATTGCGCGACCTTTCGCCACGTCTTTCTGACTCGCCCGTGTCCAAAAAATCTGAGGAGAATTCAAACGTTAACGATTCAACAGATTTGCACTAAATCCTGTACTTTTTTTTTATAGTTGCATGAGCCAGAACCGAAGACCCGACTTACAAATATAGATATGTCTTATATGTATGTTTAAGTAATTGTGTTTTTCTGCATTTTGTTACGATCGGTGATCTTGCTAAATTGTTTACAAAGCGAATGCGAAGGCTATATCTTAAAGTTTTTGTTTGGCACTCGTTTTTATTTGTTTATATTAAGTAGAATCAGAAATTATAGAGTACGTAATCAAATTAATTGTTGGTGTTTTTCAACATTTACATTTTTAAACCAGGTTTATTATATTTTTAAACTTGGCTTAACAGTACACCTGGATTAGCTGGCAATTTCATGTGTTATTTGCTTTCCTCCTTGAGGGTGTCGTCAAAGTTGATAATAATCTGCTTTTGCGTAGGAACGTGTCGCTGGTAGACGATGCCAACTGCATCGAGCATCCGCTTAGAGGCTCGATAGATAGGCTTCTCCGCGTACTTGTCAGATATGTAGTATATTTCTCGGATACCCGATTGTATGATTAATTTTGTGCACTCGTTGCAGGGGAAAAGAGTCGTGTAGAGGCGAGTACCATCCAGACTTCTGCTATTGCTATTGAGTATAGCGTTGGCTTCCGCGTGCACCACATACATATTCTTATTTTCCAAGGGATCACTATTGTCCTTCGACCAGGAAAAAACATCATCGCTACAGTCTCTTGGAAATCCATTGTAACCAATTGCTACAATGCGCTTGTGCTTATCCACAATGCATGCGCCAACCTGCGTGGAGGGATCTTTACTACGCCTCGACGAAAGTAGGGCGGTGGCCATGAAGTAATCATCCCAATGTAAGTAATCCTGTCGCTTTTGAATATGCAGCTTCGCCAAGCTTGCGGTAAGATCTGCCGCATCCTCGCATTTCTCCTTATGTTCCTTGGGCATTACACGCTGAAAGTAAAAATTTAAATAAATAAATTCGGATTAATTTGCCTTGGTTTTGATTTCGACCAAAAAATTAATAACAAACAAATAGTTTACATTTATGTGTCTGATTCTTTTTTATTCGTTATGAATATTATCATATAATAGAGGCAAAATTAAAGTAATATATATTTAATATAATTGGAATTTACAAAAAATACTTTTATCAGAATCGAAATATCCAAATTTGATTAATTGGTTTACGTGTCTCTTAGGCGATTTTCTGCACTTGTATGGGATTCTGCTTTAGATGCAGATAAATGGACCGCATCCGTGAGACATCTTTGCCTGATTTATTGACTTTAGGATTGAAGTCGCACAGCTTGGCAATGCGCTCCCACTCGGTGCCTGGCTCAACAGCCCCATTCTCCAGTGATGCGGCTTGCACCTCAGCGTTGCGAGACGATAGTTTTGTTTTGGAAATGGAATCCTCAATCTGGCGAAGCCAGTCGTCCAGCTCTTTCTTGGACTGCTGACGTAGCTCCTCTTTCTTGCGTTCCTCTTCAAGGTCCTTTTCCTCCAGCCGCTGTTTTTGTTCCTCCCGCCATTTGCGTATTTTCTCGGGCTCTTCACGCGACGGCGGCGGTCCTGAGATTCCAACCGGTTCGTTCGACTCGCTTCCAATGACTTCGAAGCTGCCCGTCGACGATTCGAAACCACCTCCAATGTTTGCAGTTAGTTCGCTGCCCAGCTCAGCACCGGCGCTGACTAATCCGCCAAGCAATCCATCGTCAGTTGCAGGTGCTACAGCTGCAGCTGCATTTGTTGCAGATCCACCAGTTATTTCCGCTTCGAGGTCCCCCAGAACCGATTGCTCGCGGGCCAGAAACTCTGCTGCTGGATCGACTTCCTCTTTGGTAGCAAAATCATCACCGAAATCCATATTGTACTCTAGAAAATTTTACACGCAGACATGTTTACAGTTAATGGGCGTATTTTCACTTACACGTAGATATGTGTAAATATCACATTAATGTCCAATCGCAATTTCATTAACCAATCTCATAAATACCTACCGCTTTGGTTGTTTTTTACGGTTTAATAGTTTATGTTTTGAGTTTTTATTTTCTGCGTATATACAAATGGTAATTTTTAATGTGCGTACTCTTCACAAGATTTTTTTTGTAAAAAAAAACCTTTGTAGAAATGAGTAAAACGACAGTCACTAATAGAGATGACAATTTATCGATTATATAAAATAATTATCTTAAAGTCCGATTCGATTAATAGAATATTTTGTTCTATTAATATAAATAATTGAGATTATTTTTTAACAAAATATAGTTAATATTACTATATATAACGACCCGGATAATTTCTATTAATTTGCCATTAAGGCTACTTCATCTGTATGAACATTTGACTTTCCACACGCTGGAAAATTTATAAATGCACTAATAATAATAATTAAGTACGAATTTATTAGTTTATGTGCATAAAATCGATGTTTAAAGTGAGGAACTATGACGATTTAGTTGACCGCTGGTGTAGAAATATATCACATTTTACAACACTTGTTTGACAGTATGAATAATATAGATTTATGTGCATGTTTACATACATAAATATTGTATTTTCACACGTTGTTATAAATGTATGTAGGTTTGCATTGTAGATTGAAAATATAATTCAGGCGTAACGGTAGGTTAACTCACCAAGCAAATAATTAAATACAAAACAATAGAATAGCAAAGACAAGAAAAAAACTTAACACTCAGGCTAACATAAGCACACGAATTTCATCGAACTGATTCACGTGTGCATTGTGTTCAAATGAACAACAGTTCATTTGTACTTGAGCGGCCATTTTGGAGATTGTTTCACCCACAAAAAAGTTATGCAGCCCAATTGTAGTAGTTTACAAAATAAATTTACTTAAAATTGTAACGTAAATAGACAAGTGCATAATCAAAGCTAAAAATAAAGATGATCCATCGAAGTGTGAAACCAACGAAGCAGTAAAACAACCAAGTTGCTTCGCCAGTGACTATCTCTCAACGCACGCACACATGTATGTATGTACATGCATACATATACTTTAAGCATACATACATACATAAGTATGTACATGTTAAAAGTGGTCAAAGGAAATATCAACTGATGTACAAACTTACACGCATACATATGTATGTAAGCGCATAATACAATTTTTTGATTAAATTGAAAGAAAGAAAAACATGTAAAAATAGAAAAATGTGCCTTCCAGTAACTGCCAAAACACGCCAAATTGTGCGCGGCATAATTTATCACTGTATGTATGTGTGTATGTGTGTATAAATATCAAAGTATCTGCGAAAAATGCACTTGTCGCAAGGGCTGCATAAAAAACACAACTGTATTGATATTGCCTGTTAAACATATTTTAACTGCAATAAACATAAATAAGTGAATGCGTTAAGTGAGTTGCAATGCAATACAAACAAAATAACCAAATTTCTACATGTACATATGCGTGTATGTATGTCTCGACGGGGCATTGAGCAGACGGTGTCTGTACTCGCAGCCCTGGAGTCTGCATTTGATGTTTATCCCACACTGAAATTGAAAATTAACCCTAAACCTGCTTCCAGCTCAAGCACCCCACATGGATCCCAACTCCAGCCCCTGGTCTTACGCTTACAATCGCATCGTACCCGGTTCCGCAGGCAGCACGGGCAGCACAGCGGAGGAATTTCAGCATCCGCACTTAGCGACAATTACAGCGGCCAGCCTTGCTAGTTTTAACGCGGCTGCAGCGAGCGGCGGCAGTTTTGTGCCACCATCGCCGATCGGCAGCTACAATCCAGTATTCCAGCAGATATATCATCATGCGGCCGCAGCTAGCGTGCAGCCGAAGCCGGCGCACTATGCCTCAACGACGGTCAACACGCCGCATCGACAGCTGCAACAGCTGCAGCTGCCCACGTCGCTGGACAAACAGCTTAGCTCCTTTCAAAACCAAGCTGCGGTAGCGGCTGTTTCGTCTGCCGCTGCGGCAGCCGCTGCTGTCAACAATGTTGCCTCCAACTACTACGGCGAGAACTCATCATCCAGCGGCGCCTCACCGTCACCCACTACGGTGGCTCTGACCTCGACTTCGCTGACGTGGAACACACCCAACATGATATCCAACACGTTCCTTGCCATGCAGCAGCAACAGCAGCAGGCACAACAGCAACAGCAGCAGCAACAACAGCAACTGAACCTAGTTGCCGACAAAGTGGTGAGTATTAACAGTAATTATTGCAACCAAATTTAACACAGAGTTGCAGATGGCCATGACCGGGAGGGGCTCAAGGGGCTCAGGTTGTGTGCATGCGTATGAGTGTGTGCTGGTGTCCTCCTTATAAGCCATTCTCAATGCATACTAATCGGTGGTATTTGCTAATATCTCCATTAATATGGAGGAGGCTTTGCACTTAACAAAAAGAGGCTATAAGCATTCCTTTAAGAATATAACTGAAGTGACCGAGAAACAATTGATTGCCGATTATTGTTAGTATTCCCAATTATTCCCTGTTGAGTACAATTGATACCTCTACGCTTAACTTGAAGTCATTTACTTGAATAGTAGCTAATATGAGTCTAGTTCAACTGCAAACTGTGGTATCTGCTGGGCCCCTTTGATGCTCCCTCAAGTACCCTAATACTAACTCTGCTTAGACTATGCCTCAACTTATGCCTAACTGTCTATGTATGTACTGTAAATATGTAACGAAATCCGAACAAAACAATTTCCGTTTCCATCAAATTTATGTACAAAAACAAAAAATCAACCTGCCAACCAAACGTCTACGGCTACAACAACAACAACAACAACACCAACAACAATAATGTATCTGTAGCAAATCAAACAAGAAAATTCACAACAAGCAAAGGCGCAAATCAAAGCTTACAACGAACTAATTTACTTGACCCAATTGCAACAACAACAACAACAACAGCAGCAGCAGCAACAACAACAACAACAGCAGCAGCAGCAGCAGCAGCAGGAACAATTGCAACATGAGATTGCCGAGGCGGAGACCTATTACACCCTAGATGGTCAAAAGCTGAAGCTGGCTCGCAAGGATACGCAAACGATACACATTGAACAGCAGAATGTTAGCCCCGCTTATGCGGCGCAGTATGCGAGTCCCGCATTGAGCTCTGCGGACGGATCACCTATCACGAATTTACACACGGTCGATGTGGGCGGATCACCACAGGTGATTGTCTATAAGACAACATCGGCCCCGGTGTCCGCGTCGGCGGCAGCTGCGGCTGGTTCCCCAGTATCGCGACGCACCGTTATGAACGTGGCAGGCGCGGGTTCGTCTGCAGCGCCCACAACGGTGGCCTACTCATCTGTGATACAAAGCACACTGCAACAGCAGCAGCAGCAACAGCAACACCTGCAGCAGCAGCAGCAGCAGCAGCAACAACAACAACAGCAGCAGCAGCAACAGCAGCACTGCTGGACAAAGCCAGAGGATGGGCAGGAGGAGATTAAAAGTGTGTTGCAGTTGCACGTCAAGCAAGAGCATCGGCAGCTGGACTATGCCAATGATGCAGCTGGCGGTGCAGATACTAGCGAGAATCTCGTGTTCAATTTGCCACCAGGTCTTGAGATAAAACAAACGTTCTATCAGCCGGCCGTTGTTGATGTAGATTCATCTGCGGCAGTGTCCTTGCAACAGGCACAGGCGCAGGCAGTGGCGCAGGAGCATTTGTTGCAACAGCAGCAACAGCAGCAGAGTGCTAGCTCGCCGCAAGGCCGGCGACAGCATGTTGTGGCTAATATGATATTGTCACCGGGGACAGGGACTTCGAGCAGCTTAGCGTCACAGATTCAAACAGTGCCAAAGGTTTGTATTTCATTTGTATGTATTTATTTTCGATTAATTTTTTCGTTTGTTTTGTTGGTCTGTTTAAGTTTGTTTTGCTTATGCTTTGTTATTATTTTGTGTGTTTTGTTTTCGCGTTCAGTTCACCTAACGGCTGTTATACAGATTTGTAATCGATTTCAACAGGCAGAACTAGTTCATAATCGAACCTACATTTTAGCCATGTGTATAACAAACTATTTACATATTCCAACTATGTATATGTGTATGTATGGAAAGAAGCTGCTATTAATTTGTCTGAATGTGTTGTATTTATGCAAAGCATTTATGTTAACATACATAACAGTATATATGTACTCTTTCTTCACCTTGTGGCGGTGCCCCAAGTACTACTTCTGTTATCTATTCTATGCTGTTATTGTTTACAATTTGGTGGCGGTCTTTCGTTTTCATTTGATTATAAATCTTATTTGTTTCTCAATATATAAATACATACGTACGTTCTGTTAAAACTATTAAATTATTGCAATCATAGCTAATTGTTTTGTTGGCAAAATCTTATGGTCAATTTGAAACTGTGACGTGACGTTGTTGAGGAAGTTTTATGTGATCTTTGTACTACATTTTATAAATACATATATCCCAAATGCAAACTTAATACATAACCAATTTTGAAGCAACACATTTGCCAGTGTGTTAATCAAACTCCTGTTGTTGGTCCATTTGCAGGAGGACGTAAAGCCGCCGGCTAAGCCAGCAAAGACGCCGCGCAAGCGACAGCCGAAGAAGACGCTCATTCCGAGTAGCGAGTACAGCACCGTTCGCAGTCCACAGGAATCCCAGCACCACCAGCTGCAGCAGCAACAGCAGCATAATCAGCAGCAGCAACAGCAGCAAAATACGTATTACGATTTTAATAGCAAGTGGAATGCGCCGCTTAAAACGGAGAACAATGCGGCGTCTGTGTCACCGGCGACAACCATCAACATACCCACATATCCGCAGCACAGCCAGCAACATCAACAGTCCTCCCAGCAGCAGCAGCAGCAGCAACATCTGCCGCAGCCCGCGCACTTGCAATCGTCACAGGCGCAATCGCACCTCACGCAGCTTGCCCAGTACTATCCAGCGTTTCCGCAGCCCATTGCATCCCAGTACACGGCATGTATGCAGCAGCAGCAACAGCAACAACAGCAACAGCAGCAGCAGCAGCAACAACAACAGCAGCAACAGCAACAGCAGGTATATACACAGCAACAGCAGCAACAACAGCAGCAGCAGGTCTATGCACAACAACTTCAGCACCAACAACAACAGCAGCAACAACAACAGCAGCAAC